AACTATCTCTCTCTTTCTTGTCTCTTTACGCTCGAAGTATCTTTCCGAGTACACCTCACTGGGTGGCAGAAGCTGCTCTGCGATACACATATCATAAACTTCCTAGTTCATTTTCAAAGCCTTTTTGTGTGTAAAGGAGATAGCTATCTCACGTGCTTATGTCATCGGTATCTCAACCTCGTGTTCCTCTTCTTCTCCCTCTTCCTCTGTCTCTTTCTCTGCTTCTTCCTCATCCTTTTCCTTTTTTTCTTCCTCTTCTTCTTCCTCTTCCTCTTCTTCTTCCTCTTCCTCTTTTTATTTTTCTTCCCCTTCCTCTTCCTTTTTCTCTTTCTCTTCCTCTTCCTCTACCTCTACCTCTTTCTCTTTCTCTTCCTCTTTCTCTTTCTCTTTCTCTTCCCTTTACTCTTTGTCTTCCCCTTCCCCTTCCTCTTCCTCTTCCTTCCTTGTCTGTTTGGTTTTCTTCTTTTATCTGTTTATGCAATTCAAGAGGAATTTTATGCTACGCTTTAAGCGAGTTTAGCAAAAACATTTTCCTCAAAACTCTAAGAGGAAATAAATAGCCACGTTTACTTACCTTTTTAATGATGTAAGAAATATTCACAGAAAATTATTTTTGCATAGAATGATGGTAACATAGAGATCCTTTAAATTAATATTTTACAGGGAAGAAATAATATGTAAACTTCATGATCACAGCGTGGAATGTTATACGATAGATCAATACTGCTATTAATAGTATTCTAAGAGTATTATAACAAAACCGATTAGTAATTAGTCGACAACACTAATTATCACTAATTATGTACTTAATTAAAAAGACAAAATTAGGTGTTACATTTCATCCCCCTACACTTTTCCCCCTCCCCCTCCCTCTTCCCTCCCTCTCCCCTCTCCCTCACCCTCCTCCCTTTCCCAACCCCCCCCCCCCCCTCTCAAATTTCTCTCTCGTTCCATCTCTATTCTTCTTCTACTTCCACTCTCCTTCCCTCACTTGCTGTCTCCTTTCGCTCACCTATCTCTCCAGTGCGTACCGTCTCCGTCTCTCTCTCTCGGCTGCATGTTGCCTAGACCTATAATTATAACACTAAGCGAAGGTGCCACGCCTTGGCCTCTCGAGCTGGCACCCTTGCTCACCAGCCCCCCTGCAGCGATGCTCTCATGTTATGGTCGGGTGCTTATATGTGTTTAAGTGTACATGGCTGTAGACGGGATGTGTAAGAGTGGAGGAAGGAGGGAAGGAAGGAAGGAAGGAAGGAGGGAGGGAAGGGAGGGGAGGTAGGGAAGGGAGGGAGGGGGGGAAGGAGGGAAGGAAGGGAGGGAGGGAAGGAGGGAAGGAAGGGACGGAGGGAAGGGAGGGGGGGAGGGAAGGGAAGGAGGTAGGGAAGGGAGGGAGGGAGAGAAGGAGGGAGAGAGGGAGGGATGGGGAGAGAGGGAGGGATGGGGGGAGGAGGGAAGAAAGGAGGAAGGAAAAGCGGGAGGAAGGTAAAGAGGGAGGAAGGAAGAAACGAGCGGAAGGAAGGAGGAAGAAAGGAGAGAGGGGATGGAGGGAGGGAGGGAAGGATAGATGAGTGGAAGAAGAGAGGAAGGAAAGAGGAAAAGGAGGAGAGAGGGAGGGAAAGAGGGGAAGTGAGGAGGGACAAGCGGAAAAAAGGAAGAAAGGGGAAAGGGAAGGAGGGAGAGAAGAAAGGGGTAGAAAAGGGGAGAGACAAACGGAAGTAAGAAGGAAGAGGCAAAGGGGGAAGAGACAAACAGAAGGGACGAAGAAGGACGAGAGGAACTGGGTGGGATGAGAGGAAGAGAGAGAGACAAATGATGATGGAAGGGAGGAGGGATTTGCGAAGAAAGGAATCAGAAAGAGAGAGAAAAGGAAGGAGGGAAGTGGAGGACAGAGAGAACAATGGAAGACAAAGGTAGACACGCGCCTGGAGGCAGAGAAGAAGAGATACATGCACAGCAAGAGGAAGAGAGAGAGAGAGAGAGAGAGAGAGAGAGAGAGAGAGAGAGAGAGAGAGAGAGAGAGAGAGAGAGAGAGAGAGAGAGAGAGAGAGAGAGAGAGAGAGAGAGAGAGAGAGAGAGAGAGAGACAGAGACAGAGACAGAGAAAGAGACAGAGAGAGACAGAGACAGAGAGAAAGAGACAGAGAGAGAGAGACAAAGACAGAAACAGAGAGAGAGAGACACGCAGAAACAGACTCAAAGATAGATACAGAGACCAAAGCAAAGGCAGACAAACAGACAAACCAATAGAAAGACAGAGACAAAGGGAGACAAGCGACTCTAACAAACCCTCCTCGTCATTTGACCACTATCAGCTTGAAAGGGAATTAAAAGCAGTCGGAATAACAGTCACTCAGTCAATTAATAGACAGACAGACCGGTAGGCAGGTAGCTAGACAAACGAGAATGCAAATATGGCGGGGGAGAGAGACAAACAGAAGGGATAGAGGAGAGAGAGAGAGAGAGAGAGAGAGAGAGAGAGAGAGAGAGAGAGAGAGAGAGAG